ACTGCCTTTAGTCTTTGGCAATAGTTCACTTTTAGAATTCATATATCATAATATCCATTTACTTTCTGAATTATGTCTGTGTCTAGCCTTCTGTAAAGAAGTAAAACGGGACTCATTTGAATCCATTTGTGACTTCTGAAACAATAAATTTTTTAAGAACAAGCAAACCTGTAGTAATCATGGCTGCCATCCGTCTCACAAAAGTGACAATAATAGTGGTCTTTTCTCAGATGTTTGAAGAGTTCATCATTGTCCATGTAGCGTTCATCACAAAATTGACAGAGTGGATGTCCCTTATACGAGGTGTCATCTTTATCACCTTGACGGCGGTGCTGTGCCAGATCCTGTCGGCTGTAAACCTTCCGTTCAGATGGAAAGATCTGTAGGAATGTTAAAGAAATTATAGCATTGTTGAGGCGCTGGTTGTTTGGTGACAACTAATTATTTAAACATATGTTCACTACAGAATTGTTATCAAAGAATTAAAAAGTGAAGTTTGTTTAATATATTCAACATCTGTAAATTTGATAACACCTGAATTTCTGTCTTGAAAAAGCTTTTCACAGACATATTGCTAGCTTACCTTCAAATGGTCCACACACAAACTACAGAAAAATAGAGTGTGAACCTTTGAGAGATGGTGCTGCAATGCTTTTAAATTTCTCTCTAACATCTTGCATTTTGGACATCGGAATTCATTAAGTTTCTCAAACTTTTTCTGAATCTGTCCATCTTCAAAAAATATCTTGTATTTTCTGTTTGGGATATAACCATGACGAGGAATTTCCGAACATTTAATTTTGTTGTGGACCATGTACACCTGTTTAAAAAGACATTATAATTACATTTTGCTCATAGGTAATAAATACCTTTCAAGTCTTTTTCAATTGTTTAGTATAATGTTTATTTACTTTTGAATATATTACAGGGTTATTGAACTTATATTGGTGAATATTGGCACGAGTTGGCTGTTCAAATCCACGAACTTGCGAGTGCATTTGTACAGCCAACTCGTGCCAATATTCACCAAAATAAGTTCAATAACTCCTTTATTATATAGCTAAAACATCTCCCATGGATTTAAATTAATTATTTCAATCCAATAACTCAAATTAGTAAGATTTTTTCAGTATCGATATTTAAATATTTCCATTTCTATTTGTTTTCTCTGTGATAACTCTTTGAAAGTTAGGAGAGTTGATTTCTTGATCATTCTAAAGGAATGCAAATTTTGCCAAGCGAAAGGTCAGTAGCTAAGAAGGCCTAATATGCATGTAATTCTCGTGGAGCTGTCTTTGTGTCTGACTCTAAGGAGGCCTAATATGCATGTAATTCTCGTGCAGCTGTCTTTGTGTTTGAAGTCAGTGGGTGGGGACTATTGAAATTGACATGTGAGGCCTCGTGTAATTTAAATCTATTAGTCTACATGTTTAAAATCGAAATTTACATTTTTATTTCAAAATGAAATGGAAATATAAGGAATCACTGTCTAGTTAGTAGAGTATGCCAGGGACATCAACGATAGTTGGAAATGTGGGATAATTTATGCATAACGGGCTTCGCCCATTATGCAAATTATCCCACGTTTCCAACTATCGTTGATGCCCTAGCTGGCATACTCTACTAACTAGACAGTGATTCCTTAAATAAACGTCTGTCCTGTAAGTGTTCAATATCACATCATTCCAATGACCCTATCAAGTGTTATGATTTGCTTACTGAGGTTTTACTGAGGCTAATATGTACTAAATTATTAATTAATAATATCAATTTTGTGTGAAAATAAACATATCTTACCTAGCTGCCACTACCTATCATAAATTTCATTTCCAATTAAGGTTGACCAGATGACATTTTTTGTTTAGGCCAACAGGGCATTTGATATTGAATGCTCGTATTCTGAATGTTTCAGGCATACTCATTTATGTAATACAAACTCAGCGTTCAATAAAACGTCAATATATTGAATGCAAATATTCTCTAGACTTTTAGTAGTTTTTATCATAAACTATTTATTAGCTATATAATAAAAACCAATATTGCCTTTTGACATATATTAGCAGTCAGAGGCATAATGCAAACAGGTTATTTGAAAAATAATATAAGTTACTTTTTTTTTTTTTACACATATATTTCTTTTTTAAAAATAACTCATTATAGTTATTTTTCAATCACATGAGGTCATTGAATTTATCTGAAATTTTAAATTTGATTTTGTGTAATTCCCAGCAAAATATATTGCACTATGGGATTCCAAGATGTAAAAGAAGATGCACTGTGCAGACTACTGTACAAAGGAAAATTGCTATGGGAGACATGGAGCAGGTGGAGATTTGCAGCATTTTCACTTGTTATCGGTACTTTGGGATTTTGGGATTTATTTTCATTTTTGGGTGAAATTTTTATTAATTGACAAATGAACAATTTTCAGCATTTTTCCAAAGACTTTGAAAACTTTTCCTGGATTAAGGTCAAGATCTAGTAAATGAAAAGAGCCTACAGATTTCTCAAACTTGAGAAATAAATTCCTTTTATGATGCTTTTTAACTATAGCTCGGTCAGATAAGGTGTATCGGGGCATAATTTGCAAGAAAACAAGACGAAAAACCATCTTGTAAACTGTCATTTTCAATGAAAAATTAAGAAAGCCAGTCACGAATATGGGAGTTTTTTCCATATCGGACGAAGGAAATGTATTCAGATTGCCTACAGTCTCTTAGAAAACGGTAATTTGTATGTTCTTAGCCTCTTCTTTAAAATAATGTAAAATTGAATATAGGTATCGGGATTACTTTTCACATGATTTCAAATTGAATGCCATGAAAATACTTTATTTTCTACATAATTTATTGGAGCTGTAAAGTACCGGAAAAGGAAAGTTTAAATTGATTATGACGTCATAATGGATCTAGCACCGAAAAGACGGTCTAAAGTCATTTACTAGATCTTGACCTTAAGCTGGCTTTTAAATAAAACATTCTTGTTATGGAGCATGTGGTGTGAAGTGAGGGGGATTGCCTTTAAATAACCTAAACAAGTTATCATTATATGGAAGACTATTTAAGAAAGATATGACTTGCGTTATTAATGAAGGAAGAGAATAATTGATAAAGGACTGGAGCAATTGAGAACAAAAAGAAGGTTACTCATTTCTGACTACCATAATCTGAGATTCCACTGACTCCAGCCTCGCTTTTATATTTTAACATGTGCTGGGGAGAGTCAGAGCAGAGACAATATTGAAATCTTAAAGTGGGAATTCAGCTACACCAGCTGGTGTTGACACTCTGCCTACCTTTTAGAACTGAATTTCGCAGATCTAACTTCCAAGAAGCAAGAACTCAGAAAGGAATTATTCTTCTACTACTTAATCATCACTAATACGATTCTATCTTTAAATGGCCTTATCACCGAAAAATGAAGCATCACTTTGAATTAGGTTGCCTCCTCTCTATTTGATTTTTTTGCGCAAAGAAATTGTCGATAGAAACATATTAGTGATGGTTAAGTAGTAGCAGAATCATTCCTTTACCAAGTTCTCACTTCTCGGAAGTTAGATCTGATCCACAGAAATAAATTTGTAAAAGGTAGGCAGAGTAGCAACACCAGCTGGTGTCGATGAATTCCTAGTTTTTAATATGGCCTCCGCTCAGACTCTCCTCTGCACATCAAAACATAAAAGTGGGGCTAGAGTCAGAAGAATCTCAGATAAATTTTTGACCCCCAAAACACCCTCATTTGAGTTATATTTGAAAATAACCTAGCTGTTTGCATTATGTTCCTAACTTATTAATATGAAAAAGTCTTGATTGTAACATTTTTTTTTTTTTGAAATAGGGTAGCAAGTTTTTAAACTAAGAGATCATTGCTCAGCTGTGATTCATTATTTCATTCATAAGCATATGTTTCATTCCAAAAACCTAAAGGCTGAAACTGCATATATATCATCAGTGCTCTAAAACGTGTCAGTTATGAAGTGAAACAGGATTTCTGAATACTGCTCAACTTTTGCTTTCACTTTTTATTCTTGCTCAGGGGAGTTAAATATTTTATCTACGTCACAGAAAAAATATTAAACTCCTGTGAACAAAAATGAAAAGTGAAAGTAAAAGTTAAAGCAGTATTCAATAATTGACATTGACAATGTAAATTTTTCTAAGCATAATATAATTTTTAAAAAAATAAACACATATCTCTGGTTAGTAATAGGCTAAGAAGTCTAGGTTACGATTTTGCTTTAACTTTACTGGTTTGTTGATAAAATATATGACTTCTGTCTCTGTCTACTCAAAACATTTTTCATCCTCGCAAGCCAGGGGTCCTGAGTCAACACGTTGCCGTTGGACGTCCAACGGCAACGTGTTGACTCAGGACCCCTGGCTTGCGAGGATGAACATTTCATAAAATATAACTTTTCTAATTATCTCACGTATTATTGTAATCTTAACGTTACGAACTTAAAATTTTACCTGATTTAAGTCAGTCCTGCAGATAGGACAATACATGTGGTTACAGAGCACACGCATTCTTGTTGAACATCGGTAACATATCGGATGATCGCAATGACCGATCGCAAAAACCTGTACAGCCTCGTGGCAAACAGGGCATAAATCGTGGTCAGTTGGAATGGGATCCATCACTCTGCTCGGCATTAATCTGTTTTATGTTGTTACTTAAAAATAAATTGTTAAGATTTTGTCAATTTCAAAACTCAAGTAGTGCCCGTTGGTGACGTGTATGGCATTTTATAACCAAAAGTTGACAAAAATAGCTTCAGTAACGTAACAGTAGTCTCTCTTTCCGCCCGATGGTGCAATATGCGTTCTACGTCATCGTTTTATGTAGTGATTATATATTCTATATATTTTTTTCTTTAATAAAATGCATTTTGTCTGTTGTTTTTATGATTATTCTTTAATTATTATTCTAAAGGGATTAAATGATTTTTTTTCCTTTTTGAAAATATTCGTTTCTAGAAGGATAACTCTGTACAGTGAATATATTACCCTGACGTCATTTCCTCGTGAGTGTGTGTATGTTCTGCTACAAATAAAACCATGTCTGCAGGAGGTGGTGCCAGTGGTGCCTTTGGGGCAGGAATGGCCGGTACTCCTTTTGATCCTGTGCAGTTTATAAAGAAACCGCAAGTTATACTCAGGCTTGGAAGCACGGTATGCGCGAATGACGATTAATACGTTCTTATATAGATTGTCGATATGAAAATTATCTCCCTTGAGCAACGAAGATCAGTCAACAGATGACAGAATTATTCTGTAGTATGTAGAGCGAGTTATGAATTTCAGTCAGTAATGTTTTAACACAGATATTGTTCTAAAGTTATTACAATGAGATGATAAATTGGAGGTTAGAAAAGTCTTAACTAAATTTAATCACGACTAGATCTAGTTTCTTCTGCAAGGATATTTATCTATTTTTAGGTAAAAGCGAATTAAAATCATGTGATCTTTACTTCTTTCTTTATTGCACACCAATATATATTTTGGTATATGAATAGACAAGTGTTATACAATTAGCAGTGGTATTCAACTCAACTTCATGGAAACTTTATAAAGGATATTGCAAAATACATGCTCTCACATGATTTGGTCTTGCATGATTGATTTGATAATTAAATAATTTAACAAGCACCAGAAAGATTAGCATGCCATTTTAACTAATGTATGTAACACTCATGGTAGTAGTCTTGATATTGGCAAGGTCATTTTGCATTCTTTTCACAATGGCACTTATGTTAGAATGTTCTGTGGTTAAAATTACATAGACATGTAAGATGTACGTAGCACAATACAAATGGTTAACTTACCGCATACATAGAGTTGCAAAACTTACATTGAATAATGTTTTGTACCAATAACCATTGGCTTTTCTAGTCTCTAATGGTTCAGTTTTAATTGGCTTATAAAACATGCAAATCCTCACAGTAATAAGTTTTCCTGATAGATATTTATTTAAGAGATAGATTTTTGTTCAGTATTAAGTGAATAGATGTCAGCTAGATCATTTTTTTTTTGTAGCATGAGTAACAAAAGATTTGTGTTATTAGCTGTGCAAGTAAAACTAGTTGACTGTTCTTGTTTATAATAGTCATTCTTAAATCTAGCTAAGCTATGCAAACAAACAATCGAAGAAGCAAAGAAAATGATAGAAAAAAAGTTTTTTGATAATGAAAAATACTAGTATTACATTATCATGGTTTCTTTTTCAGCTGTTCGCAATCATTGTATTTGGTTGTATATTAGCTGAGGGGTGGTATGCTGGCCACTGTCAAATGAATGATGACCCTAATGCATGTGGTTATGGAACAGGAATTGGAATCATTGCCTTTCTACTCTGTTTAGGATTTTTAGTTCTTGATGCTGTATTTGAAAACATCAGCAGTGTGCAGTATCGAAAATATGTTGTCCTTGCTGATATGGCCATCTCTGGTGAGTAACTGTAACAAGGAAGGAATTTATCAGATAATTAAGCTGCATTTTGAATGGCATTTTTTTTAAATAGGTTATCATTTAAGATAAATTTATCTCATTGCACTCAATATTATGTGTAAGGTGTACTAATACATTTTATGCTTCTTCAACCATGTCGTTAGAAATTATAACACAATAATATCCAACCATGCAAAAATATTTTTTTAAAAAATACATTTTAAACTTCAATTCATACAGTTTGAATGGAACATCCAGTGTAAATATTTGTAGTTTTCTTCCTTGACTCCATCATCTCACTTGTGAAATGTGATTTATTATCTTTATGAAATTTCCTGATTGGTTTTGAAGACTGAGATACCACTTTTTCCAGAAGTTTTTCACTTCCTTGTAAGTTGATCAGTAAGAGAATCATCAATGGCTTTGCTTGACTGAATGATTGTTATATTTTGTTAAGTACTCCTAAAATCTCTTGGCTGCTGATGGATAACCCTGCTGATTATGATAACTTGGTTAATTATGTCCTGTAAATTTGGACTGTAAATTTACAGTTTTCAGTGTGTGGGAAGGAGTTAGTTTGTAAAAGTTTAAAGACCCAATTTTTTTACCGTACAGTTACCTGTGGAGGGGGAGTGGTCTTGGTAGTACTGGTGTTATTTACCTGGAGGCCCCCAATACTCAAGATGTCAAAAATCCCTATACATGCTGCATTACACAGGAAGTCTGGCTTTTGGTAATCAAGGTCAACATTACACATTTTGTGCATAATTTTGAGTGAAAATATTTAAAATAAATTATGTACTGAAATATAAAATTCATAGACTTAGTGTTTTCAATATCTTTTGAAGAAAAAAAATTCAAAAAAAAAAAAAAAAGACATTTCTTTTTTAAATATCGTAAAATTGAAAAAAAAAAAAAAAAGAAAGAAAAGAAAAAGGTGAACAATGGACAAGTATTCGCTATTTCCGAGGGTCCTTGTTCTTATGCCGTGTTTACAGATTTGGATATCAAAAGAATCTTTCGTACTTCATGGCGTTAGATACAAGATACTTTTATTTATATTAGTATAAATATCTTTTCTTATTTAACCCATTGCATTTTTTATTATAATTTTCAAATGGTGGGGGAGGGGGTCGATTGTTTCCAATTATGAAGAATTGACTTTCTGTGTACCCAAGTGCAAGGTCGACAAGGGCATTACGTACATTCTTAAAATCAAGGCACAGGTTGAATAAGGGGCTCAGAAGAATTATGGTCTGTGCTGCTGCAGAAACTTCTTTTCTCTCCGGTTTGAATATCCGGTAATTTTTCTTCGAAAAGTTCTACAGTTATCTTGGACGTCATATCGCTAACAAGTATAAACAGCAGTGGAGATTAAAAATAAAATCACAAAGTCACTGTTTAATTATCTGCTCTCTATTATCTTTTAAAAATAAAATTATCAACCAATATAACAGCGACATGATTTTTTTTAACAAGAGTGTATACAACGCGACCATTCACATGGTACATGAAAGCGTTTGACGCGTGACCAGGTAATAATTTTCAAAACATGCAAATTCAGATTATCAGGTAGCCCAAGTAGCTGGCCCGTTAATCAAATCAGAAGCTATTGTTTTTTTAATGATTGACAGGTGGTATACTATTGATCTTGAATTAGGTATATTTTGGGGGCGTTAACATAAAATTGGGTGTTTAAGTTCTGCATTCTTAGTCAAGCACAAATGACAACTTGGGACATTTTATATGTATCCTTTAATAGGTTAGATATACTGTATTTTGTTTTAATAGGTTAGATATATCACGATACTGTATTTTGTTTTAATAGGTTAGAGCTTAGATATACTGTATTTACCAAAGTCAACACCTGCTTTAATAAGTTTGATTTTGATTAGTAAAAGTATAAATTTACATTTTTTTTTATATATACACTAAATGTGTTTAGTACTAAGATTTATATATGGTACTTGAAAATATGGAGAACCTGTGAACTACATATTCATTACAGCTACTTGATAAAACCAATCATGTACTGTGAAAACACTGATTTTCATGGGGGTTTAATTTTCGTTGATTTCGAGGTATGAAGAGACCAATGTCCATCTTGAAATAAAATTTTTCACATATACATGTACTACTATACTGAACTATTGATTATCCATGAAATCAAATCAAAATTTGTTCCCACTAAAGTATATGATTTTACAGTAATTCAATGCTTGGATCTGTTACACAGCAAATATATGTTATTCACTTGCAGATTTGCGTGTATAGTGTTAACCTCTTTCCCATTTCAAATGCCTGGGAAACTGCTGAATATTAAACATATGCCTTGAAATATTCCACATGATGACATAAAAGATAGTGGTTATAAATATCAATAATAATTTTTTCTTCAACCTTTTTTTATTTAATACTTTTATTTGCAAATGACACTCATGTGTTTTCTGTTCAAACCTTGATATTTTGGTTATGCGCAATAGGACAATGTCCTGTGCACATTTAAGTACAATAAATTCCTTATTTTTGTCTATTTGTTTTAGGAAAAGAATGAAGATGTGCTCAAATATGATAAATAAACAATTGCTGAAATTTTCAGCTCAGAATGCAAATTAATTTTCAGTAAAAACACTTCTTTCATGATTTTACCAAACATTTTACCCTCATACATAGCCTTATTAAACTCATATTTTCAATGAAAAAATGGAAGAGCATGCATTGTTCAAATTATTTTCTATTTCATTAGGCCCTATACCTCCTCAAGATTCTTTTCAAGATACACTGAACTGTACTTTTTACTTCACTTTATCTGAATTTCAATGGCTCATTGTATATCAGTTCAACTGTTCAACAAGTTAGTGTTTTTGTTTTAACTTTTTGCTTAACTAAAAAACAATGGATAGCATGCTGCATTATATTTAATGTAAATGGTAACCAACAAGGAGACCAATGCAGCAACAGGCTTTTCTATGAATACATCACTGTCAAATACACCCAAAGAATCATTGATTGGGGTCAGAGCATAGAAATTTGCAATCACTGTTCCTATAAGGACTTCTCAGTGGTGTAACATTTATTGACAAGGATGCGGGGCAGCAAAAACATTTTCCAGAAGCTCTGAGGATCCTCCTTGTTCTCAAGAGGAAAATCAATAGCCTCTGGCATAGTCTTCAGATCGATGTTGATACTCTTTGCATTAACACCCAAAGTCCAGTTAATAGAGAGCAAGTTATGGATTAGGTTTTACTTTGTATAGGAAAATGTTTTGATGTGGGAAAGCCAATGATTGAATAAACAGAAACGGATGTTGATCATTTTCAGACAACATGCTCATTTATACTTATTGCTCATAAATGATCTTGAATGTGAGATGTTTGTTTTATCCTTGAAATATTTGAATTTCGGTAGTTTTTTATGCCCTGCCATGAATATGGCCAGCTCCTGGCATATAGTGTTTGTCATGTCCATCTTCCATCCATCTGTCCTTCTTTCCCTTGTCCTTCTTTCCTTCCATCACATTTTTTTTAGCTCGGGCCATCTTTAAAATAATGTTTGTTTGCCCTCTCCCTACTTAGCTAAAAAAAAATTGGGTCGGTAGAAATTTTTCTCCTAGAAAATTTCAACATGCATATTGCCAGGATGAGAAAATGATAAGAAAAAAAATTATCGTTTCCTGGACTAGGTTAAAAAAAAGTTTTGAGTTGGGCCATTTTTAGCCAGTCAATCGGGAGAGGGCAAACAAACAATTTTAGCTCACGAGAGCTGAAAGCTCAAGTGAACTTTTCTAATCACATTTTGTCTGGCGTCCATCCATCTGTCTGTTCATCTAGCTGTCCTTCCGTCTGTGAACTTTTCACATTTTCAACTTCTACACAAGAACCATTGGGCCAATTTTGACCAAACTTGCCACAAAGCATCCTTGGGTGAAGGGTATTCAAGTTTGTTTAAATAAAGGGACACACCCTCTTTCAAGTGGAGATAATAAAGAAGTGGTGAAAATTTGGTGTCATCTTTCAAAAATCTTCTCAGGAACCATTAGGCCAGAAAAGTTGAAACTTATATGAAACCTTCATTACATAGTGTAGATTAAAGTTTGGTCAAAGCATGGTTAGGGTGGATCCATAATAGGGGATCAAAATTTTACATAGGAATATGTGGGAAACATTTTTAAAAATCTTCTTCACAAGAACAACAAAGCTGTGATCAGTCATAATTGATATGGAGGCATCATCAGGTAGTGTAGATAAAAGTTTGACCAAATCGCGACCTCTTGGGGGAGGGAGGGGCCACAATGGGGGATCAAAGTTTTACATAGGAATATATAGGAAAAAATTATAAAAATCTTCTTCTCAGGAACAGCGGAGCCATTATTAGTCATTTTGATTTGGAAGCTTACTCAAGTAGCGTAGATTCAAGTTTGTTCAAATGATGACCCTTAGGGATAGGGAGGGGCCACAATGGGGGGATCAAATTTTTACAAAGGAATATACAGGAAAAAAAATTCTGCTCAAGAACAGCAAGCCATTTGTAATACTGATATGGAAGCATCCTCAAGAAGTTTAAATTTCAAGTCCCCCTTCCCCCTTCCCCATGTAAACTGATTTGTGCTTTTTCTTAGCCAATGTGCTCAGGTGACTGATGTGGCCCATGGGCCTCTTGTTTAAAGATGGCCACAGTTTCAAAGAAGCTGTTCTTGATATCTCTATCAAAATTTATATGCTGATACATATTGATGAGAGCTTTTTAACTGCAGCAGCATTTTTTGACTTTGACCTTGACCTCACTTTTTTCAAATTAGTGTTTAGCTCTGCAGTTTCAAAGAAATTATTTTAAGATATGTATTATGAAAGCTTATGTACTGATAAAAGTGTTTGGTGAGAATTTATCAACTGTGTCCAATATTGTTTTACCTTGTCTTGACCTTCCTTATGACCTTTGATATCACTATTTATTGTGTACAAATCTCAGTTTTCAAGAAACAATTCAAGATATTTTCCCCACATTTCATACACTACTGCAAATTTTCATGTTGCATTACTAATGAACCCTGGGAGGGACATTCATGTCCTATGGACATTTTTCTAGCTTTTAGCTCACCTGAGTCGAAGGTTCAAGTGAGCTTTTTTGATCAAAATTTGTCCATTGTATGTCTTCATTGTCGTTGTTGTTAACTTTTCACAATTTCATCTTCTTCTCCAGAACCAAACTTCAATTTCAACCAAACTTGGCACAGAGTACCCTTGGGTAAAGGGGATTCAAGTTTGTTCAAAATGAAGGGCCACACCCTCTTTCAAGGGGAGATAATTACAAAATAGTGAAAAATTAATGGCATCTTTTCAAAATCTTCTTCTCAAAAACCAATGGGTCAGGAAAGATGAAACTCGTGGAATCATCGTCAGGTAGTGTAGATTCAAATTTGTTCAAATCATGACCCCTGGGGGTAGGGTGGGGCCACAATGGACGATCAAAGTTTTACATTGGCATATATAGGAAAAATCTTTAAAAATCTTCTTCTCAAGAACAGCAAAGCTATGATCGGTCGTCTTTTTATGGAAGCAACCTAAGGTGGTGTAGATTCCAGTTTGTTCAAATCATGACCCCCGTGGGTAGGGTGGGGCCACAATGAAAGTTCAAACTTGTACTGAAATAAGCCACAGTCAAAGAAATATGTAATGCTTCCTTAGTTAGTGTAGATTCAATTTTGTTTAAATTATGGACCCCCCCCCCCCCCATTTTAGGGGTCGGTCAGGACCACTGATTTTTGCTTTTTTCCAAGCCACAGTGCTCTGGTGAGTGATGTGGCCCATAGACCTCTTCTGACTTTAAAATTTAGTATTTTTGAATTTTTTTAAAAGAAAATTTAATATTATTGATGATCATTTTTAGGTCTGTGGACTTTCCTGTGGTTTGTGGGATTCTGCTACATGACAGATGCCTGGAGAAGAACAGATATAAACAACCATACATATGTAGCCCCTCATGACCATGGAAAAAACAATATCCAGGCGGCAATAGCTTTTTCCTTCTTCTCTATTATAACTTGGGTATGAATATTAGGTCATTTTCATTTTTCATTTTCAGTCAGTTTATTTTAAAAAGCAGGAAGAAACAAGTGATACTGTGAGCCATTATCCAGTCTTTTATTCTGTTTTAATTCTTAATTCAGTGTTTTCTATATAAGGAAATGAGCTGTTGATCAATCAGTTTACACTGATAAAAATAGAAACAATGTCTTTTTTAACTCTGCCTTAAGTCTTTCCTAGCTGAATTTCAGTACAAAAATGGTATCTCCTAGCTATAGGACAGTTTTAAATAGTTAAAAAAATGAAATTAGTTTTTAAAAAACTAGTGTATTCAAGTGCTTTGTTTACTGTATTTCATTTATGAATGTCTGATCTGGAATGTCTAATATTTTTTTCTAAAATACAGGGAGGTATAACCTTCTTTGCTGTACGTCGTTATCGTGAGGGATTTGAAGACGCCTTTGCCCCGAGAAGTGGTTATGATGATCAGACCCAGTCCTCTCCATACTCCTCCTTTCCAGGTAGTGAGACGGGGGACCCCTATCAGCAACCCCCATTTAGTTCCCAGAAAGAGGCACCAAACTTTCAGCAACAACAAGCTACATATTGATTTAGAGATTATCCAACAAAACTTTGAAAAGACAACTGTGTACCTAAGTCTGATGTACAAGTCAGTGTAGAGGAGTTACATGTTGATAGGAGTAGATAAGTTATTACTGCTTTTTATGTGAGAATTGTTTCATTTTACTGTCATGTGTGTTTTAGTTGAGTGGAGCATTAGTATGTTAGGATTTAGTTGTGTAATTCCAGTGGGTTGAAAAAGATGTTTTGGCATATCATTTGGTACTTTGGATGATTGATGTGTAATTTTGTTTTCTAGATCTCACAAGCTCACTTATCAATTGTTACAGTAAGCAATTTTTTTCAGAATCATATCATATGATTAATGAGACACATCCAAGGGAAATTTATACAAATTACATGTATATTTATATATACATGTACTGAAGAAATTATGGCTTTTCTAGTAAAAATTATTGTGAGGGAGTGGAGAGCCATTTTTATTTATAAGGCTGAGGATTAATATTTTCTTCTCCAAAAAATCACAATGGTGGGAGAAGACATAAGTTCATTATTGTTGGTGGGGGTATAATTATATAATGTAATGATAAATTAAATACTGTTGATCTTTTGGAATTGCATTATTTATTGAAACACCAAAAATAAGTAAATATTTCTTGTTTATTGAATGGAGCATGATAAATGTATCACAGAACATGTGGTACATGTTTTTGTATCACATAATTCAAGGATAAGAAATTTTTATTACTATAGTAAATGATTGGCCAATGATAATAAAATGATATTCCTTTTTGTACATTTGAAGATATATGGAAAGGGGGGGGGGGATCTGTCATATATTGTAGAAAACTTAACAATGAGGTCAAGAAAACTCATTATGGAACTATGTTATTGTAAATTATTTATAATTTTGCTTGACAAAAATTTTTTAAAATCCCATCAAAGTGGGGGTGGACACTTTGATTGTATCTTGGAGTTAAATTCCGAATGGTGTCATTTAGGCCTTGTTTCAGTGTCTTTTCTGGCATAGAAATTCTTTTCTTTCTCATGCAGCAGTATATCACAAGACAGACTATTGAATCAAAGTGGGGTTTACTGTAAATAAATTCTAAAAATGGGGGATGTAAAATAGTTGGCACTCCATACTCACAGATAATATTATCTGGAATAGTCCTGAAAGTTCTGCAAATTCATTTTTCTGTGAAAATGTTTTATATCAATCATCTAAAAAATGCTTATAAGTATATGGCATACAGCTGTACATGTACAAAGTTGGTTTAATATAGAAATCCTATAACAGCATCAAGTGCTGTTTAATATATGTATATATGTTATATTGTGTAGGTTAGATATACTTTACATTCCATTCTGTGCTTTCATTTCCATACCTGAATTTCACAGGGTAGATATATTACATGTTATGAATGACTGAAAACAAAAATGAAACAGAATTCTTCTCTGTCAATTTTTATTTATATATATGAAGAATTATAGCAGTTTAAACTAAAAACAAATTTTCTTATCGAGTTATGTTGCTACTGTCCATGGACATCTAATTAGGAAAATTTAAATGTGTAAAAATGTAAAAAATGAACTCAAGAAACTGTTCCCAGTAACTCTACAGTAACTAAACTTTATATATTTCTAAAACTTGAAGTTCAAATGTTATATTGAACTGCAAAGTTAAATTTTCTCACTTTTCACCAAATTATATGGCTTGACCAAACATAAGAGTTGTTTACCTAAACAGATATCACTTTTTAGTGAGAGAAGAGGCTATTTAATCAAAGATACTTGAACTTTTGAAGAAAAAATTAAATTGTTGTTATTTATCCTTAAGAAGAGATTAAAAGAAAGGAAGACTTGGAGATTTTTCTATGGGAGATCCATTAACAGTTTACAATGCAATGTTAAACCCTGATCATTTGAAATTTAATGTTTTGATGTATAAAGAATTAAATCAAATATTTTGATGACAAAAGAAAACAAATCTTTGAATACATATTTGTCAACAATGTAGCATAATCATGTCAGGCACAAATATCCAATTTTCAGATTTATATGAAATATTTCTATATAACCTTTTAATTCCTTATTGCATTTTTTGACATTAATTGAAGTTGTTGCACAATTCATAACATCATGTCCGCAATATGACGGTCCACTCTGTTGCAATACTGCAAGTTGTATATATAATATCTATCAAGTCTTGTCAGCTTCATAATGCTTTTCTTTCATATTATGAACTGTGTAAACAATGAATAAAACTTTATTTTGGTCTGTGTCATCCATTGTGAGGTCGAAAAAGTAGAAAGGTGAATATTTATTGAATAAGTAGTTTTCTGACTCAAACAATGAATTAATTGAGATTTTTAAGAAAGGTTACATTGCAGATAAACTGACTTGCCATATATGTAGCATGATAAACATTACCTCTCTGTTGCTGTTAATCCTGGTATAATGAAAAGCAGATCTTGACTTTGTAATGTACACCTGATCACTTTTTGTATTATTTGAGATATTTAAATGATGTGCAAGGGTTTATTAGTGAGAGTATTATAACTTTTGTATAATAGTTGAGGGTGCTTTTCTTTACATTTTTTTTTCAGTGTAGTAAATTCATATACCCTTTCATTCCTTTTTCTGCTGCATTGGTTGTGGTTACTAATATTTTAATTTTAATACATGTACATGTATGTGTTTCAATCCTGGATGCTGCAGTGGTCTTGTTTGTTTTTTGTTTTTTGTGTTCTTGTATGAAATAGAGAGAGGTTTCTGATATGATATATAAGTATGTAGGAATACTTCAGGAAAGGAAACTGCTTGGCATAAAACTATTTTCTTTCTTATCTAGAGCTATTATTATTGACTTAAAAGTAAAAACTTCAAATTTCATGAGAAAAAAATGGAAATTAATTAGAAATTAGTGCATCACATATCTGTAGAATAAAAAACAGAGACAGATTTAGATAGCATTATAAATATAAACAAGATGATTAAATGGACATTGTTCATGGCAACACATTGAGTCAAATTAAAGCCTAGACATTCAGCAAGTGTCATTTATTCTTGAAGTTGTGTCACTTGTGACCATGTAAGATCTCTCTATGATAAAATTTTCGAATTTTTCTATTTTTTTTTTACCTATAAGATCATAGCATGTAATACAAGATATATAATTGTGTGTGTTGAAAATGATCTAAATTTTCATGAAAAAAGCTATTGCATCAATCATATTTCTGACTTTTTCACACTGTCAAAAATATGCAGAATTATGAACCATTTCACTTTAACATGTTACTTTATGAGTCCCTTGGTATTGACATGCTGAAATAGAAAATCAAAGCATGCAATGTTATGTTTCCCAGATAAATGAATATGTTGTATGTAGTGGGGTATTAATTTTGTTATGAACAAATTAGTCATACTGATATCTTGTAGATAAAAATTGTAAATTACTTCTTCCCTTTAAAAGCCAATCAAGAAAACTTAGTAGAGATAGGAATTCAGCATAATCCATAGGGAAGTCTGACAATAAATAAAAGCTATAGTGTATGTGAATGGATTATAGTTTTAGGGATACTTTAGCATAGACTGGGGGAATTAGGAAAGAAATATGAGTAACCATTGAATGATAAAAGCTATATCCATGTAGAAATGTTTGTCTGTAGGATTATTTGCTTATGAGTACCATAAATGATAGATTGTATTTATTTTTAGAGAATGTGGAATTATATATAGGTAAATTAAAACATACAAAATGTGCTAGTGACTGTACATTAGACTTTCTATATTTGTTGTATTGTATTGACTTTTTATTAAAACCAAATTTAGAGACATTTGTTGAAATTCTGAAATCCATAACCCTGTCCTCAATATGATTTTAATAAACAAGTTATCTGTATCAGATTAGAATTTTGTTAAAGAATTACTTCCCTTCATACTAAAATCTTCAAAGACTGTCATTTTCTTGAGTATGAGAAGGAGGCACAGTATTGATTACTGTGACTGCAGAGAAAATTATGGACAGTCAATGTAAATTTGAATTTGACATACAGAATATTAAGTGTTGTGTTCAGCATTTCATTTAAGGTAATTTGAAGAGATTGGAAAATGTGTAGGTCCTAGTTAGATAACTGTTAGAGTTAGGTAAATATTTAAGGAGTACATTTTCTATCTGTCACTTTGTGTTTTTACCTTTAAGCTTTAATGTTAGTTATTATCACCTGTAATTGTGAAAGAGGCTATAGAATTGGAACATTTTGTGAGTTTTTGAAGTAAATTTGGTAGGGGAAAAGAAATATAAAGATGTGAAAGAATTAAGTTTTATTTCAAAAAGTGAAATCTTTCATTTTGCAACATTGCATTTAAATCAGTGTATAATAAAAATATGAGAGATAATCTTCATTTGCAGATAGTCATATAAATATTCATTTTGTACCCAAAATCATTTTAATTTTCCAGTTAAATTTATTGTAAATGTTATTTATAAAACAAATGTTGAACAACAAGTAAGCTGCTCATATACCATAGGTTTACATAACGATGATTGTAAATTTATGTGTACATATATTATTTCCTTTTAGTGAATGTGGTTTCAACATCAAAAAATGCACTAAAGAAATTTATACCAAATAGTACACACTTTGTCAAAATTGTTTTTCATGTTCCTAGTACTTTCTGTTGCATAATATGTACCAATAATGTATACAAGACATGTACTAGATTTATGTTACTGCAGTAAATTATTATAACATCATACTTGTATTATTATCAGAGTCACAGTCCTTCAGATAACTTTAATCTGATAATGGTATATTTTTTTCTTCTTTCTTTTCTTTCTCTCTGTCTTTTTTTTTGGTAAAATTTTACTAGTATGTTGGTTGGATGAAAGAGATTTGAAGGCCAGTCATCAGAGAAATTTTTCCATGAAGGGGACTGAGGTAGATTAGATATATAATATGCATGTTTAAATTTCGAGTTTTCTCTATAATTTTCTACTGTTATACACATGTTACATCACAAAATTTCTGAATTTTTTTGTCCATTGATTTTTTTTCTGTAACCTCCTTAGGGTAAAAAATTTATTCAGTTCATTATTAAGTAATTGCAAAGGATTGAGATGAGCATTTAGGTACATAGGCATGTTGATTGTTTGTCTACATGTATGTTAATTTTATAGAATTCAACTCAACCTACACCTACTTCAGCTGAAATAGGTCAATAGAACAGAGTTTATTAGTAAGCAGGTGAAATAAGTCTGCAAAAATTGAGTAGTACACAGTGTTGAAGTGAAAAATAAGTGGTCTGGTTTGTTTTCATTATTTTCAACTTCTGTTTTAACAATCTTTAAATTATGAGAAAAGTATATTTTTCATTCGGTAAATCCCTATTATCACCACATATCAGCATAAGCAGGGTTGCAAATAACATTTAAAACCTTAGGGGCCATGTTGGGCCCCACTTTACAAGTTTCACTAGCCCACATTGTTATTTTGGGGCCCAATTTTCTCTCATTCTCAATCTTTTTGTATTTTAATCTCAGAGAACTATACTATGCTGTCCACAGTCTTTAATTTCACTTATGATTTTGACACCATGAATGAATGACATTGCATCATATCCTTCATTCTTAAATAGGACGGTTTCCTTACTTGCAAGGTAAAAATTCAACCGATGGGTTTCCCCATGATCATTTGCAAGGCAAACATTCTATTAGTGGTTTATTGATAGTTAATTGACAATAAATTCATACGCACAGTGCCCCACAACAACTGTACAATGTACCGTGGCCATTGATTTCTTGATTTAAAATCGTAGTATAGCATCATGTGATCGTATTTTGACTGACATGTTTGATATCAATATATAGGCCATTGTTTTTATACTAATGAAGATGGGCGAACAAGGCGAGCGAAGTGCCTGTAGTGCAAAAAACATGAAGGTGAAAAATTAAATCTTACACACACACACACACACACCCTCTCCATCACCCTCTCTCACACACACTTATATACACCCCCCCCCCCCACACACCCTCACACACACACCCTCACACACACACACACACACACCCTTGTTTGTAAATCCAGCCAACTGACTACATTTGAAATTTTACCTTCATCTCGCTTCACCGATTTAGAGGCTTGAAAAAGAGAAAGTAAGACCAGAATATACCGAGGTTAACCTTAGGATTTCTCTGTATCTATAGGAATTTTTGATATCTTTTACTTTAAGTATATTGAAATTCGACATGAATCTCACTACATTTTTACACTTATTGAACACACACGTGCAAATCAGTACAGCTAATTCAACCGTCAATTCACTACAAGGTTATAAACACACAGGAAAATCGCTACAGCTAGTGATCATGTTTAATTTTTTAATTGCACCGTTTATTTTATTTTATTTACTGGTATAAATGGTGTATGTATGTACAAGACAGTACACAAGATCAAAGGAAAAGATTGGATATACGGCAAATATGTATGTTATCAGAGCTGTTCCCATGTTGACATATACATGTATACAGCATGTACAGCGCCGGTCTAACATAAACTCTAATAACATTAATCTCAGAGTCGATAATTGAAGATATCTTTTAATAATCATTAATCTCAGAGTCGATAATTGAAGATATCTTTTAATAATCAAGGACATCATCAATTCATTTTTTATTATTAATAATGGAATGAACGATACTTTCTTTTAATGAAAGAACGGAAAAAATCTTTTTTAAGACAATCTCTAAGTTGATTCTTTGCGAGTAAATTTTCCGCCACTGTATTGAAAGGCCTATCTTCGATTCAATTGATAAGCGCATCAAATCAATTATTGCTCTCCTTTATTGAATAGTTGCGCGTATAAATCCAGCTGATGAGAGGAATAACTGATCTGATGCTCTCACTCATTCAGAAAATGTATTTCAAGCAGTATCCTAAGCATTTCTTGTATCTTTTCTTTCCATGTAACATCTGTGCAAGATTCGTTAAGCTAAAAACTAGTCCCCTACTGGTAAAAAAGGTTCTTTCCTCAACTGTCTGCCTGTCTGTCCCTCTGTAAGTTCTTCCCATGGCACTTGAATTTTCCGCCCTTTTTCTACAGCTTGCAAATATTGAACTGATGTTTGGTATGTGAGTCTACCTTTACTAAGTTACAGATCAAGTTTGAATTTCCGCTTTCAAGAGTTTTGACGGAATTACGGGCATTTCAATTTTTTAGGAGAACCAGATAACATTTGCCGGTAGGGTGCTAGCATTGCATATGCAATACTCTCAAAATGCTTGTTAAAGTTACGAAAAAAGCTACTCCCTAAGCACCTAAATGGTCACTTTTGCTGATAATGAAGGAAAAAGCAGCATCCGAAGCAATACTGCTATTATCAGCAGTCAATATTAGCTGCTCGGCATTAAGCTAGATAACTTGCGATTTATAAGTTCTTTCAAAATTTAGAGTAGTGGCATGTTTGAAATATATATTCTTTCAGCATCGAATTTTCTTTAAATTTTTCCCAAAAAATCCCTGTGTGAAGAATCGTGTGGTCAGTTAGTAAAAAAACAAAGTCGAACGTCAATTCATCATAGTTTCAAAACAGTAAATATTCCGTGATCTGGGTAACCAAAAAGTTAGTGGAATTAATTGTATTAATGATAATTCATTCTCATTAATACCCAATGATAATCGCCCAAGTTCAAGTGCAAGTTCAGTTTATTCACCCAACCCAAAATAATAGTACATGGGATACATTTATAACATATATATATATATATATATATATATATATATATATATATATATATATATATATATATATATATATATATATATATATATATATATACATATATATATATATATATATATATATATATATATATATATATATATTTCATATAAACTGTTCAGAGGTACAATATCTATATATACAATGCAAAAACATGATAAAACATAGGTAATCAGAGATTACAGAGCTCACCTCAACGAATGTTGTCTTTAAGTAAGGCAAAGTCCCACACTAAACTAATAATCTAGGAGTGTGCATCCCTAGATGCAACATTTATGCAATTTTGGTCTGATAGGGCTTGCAGTTACTTGGGAATGGACTTATCTGAAAACTTAAAACTAGACACTCATTCAGAAAATGTAAGTCAAATCCAGCATCCTAAGCAAGTTTTGAGATTGTTCGTCCCTTGATGCATCATCCATGCAAGTTTGGTTCAGATAGGCCTTATAGTTACTTGGAAATGAGATCTGCTCCATAAACTTTAATCTGGTCACTCATCCGGAAAATATAGGTCAGATCCAGCATCTGAAGCAAGTCCAGTAGTGTGCATCCTAAGATGTATCATCCATGCAAGTTTGGTCAATATAGGGTTTATAGTTACTTGGAAATGACATCTGCTCCAAAAACTTTAACCTGGTCACTCATCCGGAAAATATAGGTCAGATTCAGCATCTGAAGCAAGTTCAGTAGTGTGCATCCTTAAATGTATCATCCATGCAAGTTTGGGCAATATAGGGCTTTTAGTTACTTGGAAATGGGGTCTGCTCCAAAAACTTTAACCTGGTCACTCATCCGGAAAATATAGGTCAGATTCAGCATCTGAAGCAAGTTCAGTAGTGTGCATCCTTAAATGTATCATCCATGCAAGTTTGGGCAATATAGGGCTTTTAGTTACTTGGAAATGGGGTCTGCTCCAAAAACTTTAACCTGGTCACTCATCCGGAAAATATAGGTCAGATTCAGCATCCGAAGCAAGTCCAGTAGTGTGCATCCTTAAATGTATCATCCATGCAAGTTTGGTCAATATAGGGCTTTTAGTTACTTGGAAATGAGATCTGCTCCAAAAACTTTAACCTGGTCACTCATCCGGAAAATATAGGTCAGATCCAGCATCCGATGCAAGTCAAGTAGTGTGCATCCTTAGATGTATCACCCATGCAAGTTTGGTCAATATAGGGCATATAGATACTTGGAAATGAGATCTACTCCAAAAACCTTAACCTAGTCACTCATCCGGAAAATGTAGGTCAGATCCAGCATCCGAAGCAAGTTCAGTAGTGTGCATCCTTAGATGTATCATCCATGCAAGTTTGGTCAATATAGGGCTTATAGTTACTTGGAAATGAGACCTGCTCCAAAAACTTTAACCTGCTCCAAAACTTTAACCTGCTCCAAAAACATTAACCTGGTCATTCTTTAGCTGAAATTGCAGCATCTGAAACCTTGACTGGTACAATGAAACACACTAGAAGCATCCTCCATGCATCTCTGACTAATATAGGCCATAGAAGTACTTGAAAAGAAAACTGCTCCAAAAACCTTAACCTGGGACGCCGACGCCGACACCGACGCCGACGCCGAGGGTATTACATAAGCTCCCCCAACTTCGTTGAGGTGAGCTAAAAATGAATAATGATAATGATAAAAATACTTCGCCGTTCCATTTTTAACCATTTTCAAGAGAAAATTCTTAAAAGATTACATATAGTAATATACCCTAGTGTATAGTTAAGAAGATGCGAAGACTCCCTGACCGCTTGGGAAAGTGTGTTTTAACACCCTACTACTCAGATCGACCGGTGGGGGAGACTTTCAATGATTTGAAAATACGCTATCTAACAAGAAACATGTGGTTTAGCTAGAAAATGCTAAAATGCATTCTCTAAACGGACAGTGTGTCTCAAGCCGCCTCAATACCCTTGATAGATTCAGGGCAAAGCCCAGATGATGGCGCAGAGGACTAAAGTCCCTGA